CCCCCGCCCCGCAGATAGCCCGCCGCCTGCCGCCGGCCGGCGACGCGTTTGACTCTTTGACCGAGGGCCAGCGCGGCGCGTGGACGCACGACCTGCGGCTCAGCGCGGCGGAGACGCTGGCGGCGCTGGCGGCGCCCAAAGTCAGCGTGACCGTCGACGTAAAGCTGGTCGGGTTCGACGGGGAGGGGTGAGTGCGCGGCTGCGGGGTCCCGCCATTTGGCACGTTTCTGGTCCCCTGACAGTGGCGCAGGTTCAATTGCCCCCAAATGCGATGCGTTTTTTTGTGTTCTGCAGTCGCATGCAAGTGCCCCGGCAGTTGCTGTTTTGTTGGTGCCCGTGGTTGCGATCGCGGAGCGCCATGGTTGCGCATCTTGAAGATCCCAAGGTTTGGGAGTGTGGGGTGGCGTGCAGCGGTTGCCGTTGACGGGATGGAGCCGTGCTGGTGGCTGCAGCTGGTTTCGTGTGTGCCTCTTGCGGCAGCTGCCGAGAAGCTGCCATGTTCATGTGTCGGTACGAGTCTGGCGTCATCACATACAATCCACATTTGACCAATGGGTGTGCGGCCCCTCCTCCTCTCGTCCCCCCAGCAACGAGCACCTCATGGTGGACCATCGGGACCTGTCAGCCCACCTCAGATCACTCTCGGAGGAGATCGAGGCCGTAGCGCTGCACCCGGCACCCAACCGCCTGGTGCGGACCCCGCCCGGCCCGGCCCCGCCGCGCCCGCGGACGGGCTTGATTCGTCGGGCCGGCCGTGGCCCCACCTACTCTTGCAGCAAGGAAGCGGTGGGGCCGCTGGGTCCTCAGGCGGCTCGCCAGCACGGCCCCTGGACCGGAGGCACTCCGCCCTTTTGCCTTGCAATCGTAATCGTAATGTGGCCGGGCCGCATGGCGAACCCAGGGCGCAACACGGTCTCCTCGCCGCTCTTCTCCCCTTGGATCACCAACGGCCCCGGTGACTGAGCCCCGCAATACCCAGCCCCAAACTCCTCCCCCTCCACGGCACCCCCGCCCCACCACCCACACACCCCCAGTTGGTAAAGCCATCTGTTGAGTTCAGGGTGCACCCGGCCTACTTCAAGCTCATAGGCAACATCAACGCCGCGCTGACGTCAACGATTGCCTCCACACAC